CGGCGGCGGCGGCGGCGGCGGCGGTGGCGGCGGTGGCGGCGGCGGCGCGGCTAATGAACTCACGCCGACACTTTCGCGCGAACGGGGGGAGAACCCGGAGGGCGCACCGAATCTGAGCCGCGGCCCCGGAAGCGCGGAATCGCCGACGCGCGCGCGCACGCCGGACCGCTTACTTTTGACGTCGACCGGACGGCGCTCGATTTACAGAAAGAATACCGGACGGACACCGGTTCGCCGCGATGACAAGAGCCACGTGGACGCGGGAGCGGAAACGCCTGGGACCTTAGCGTCGCGCAACAGCGCGATCAGTTCTCGTTCCGGGAGCTCCGTGAGAACTTTGCGGAAAATCGGGAATCCGCCGATGGGACCCCCGCGCGATAAATCGCCGGCATTAAATACCGTCGAAAAGTCCCGACGACGTTATCTTTACGAGCTCGCGAGGCGTCGGTCACGTTCCCTCGTCGGGGCAGGAACTTAAACGGTTTTTCAAACATCGTAACGTCCCCCCTGGTGATTTACGCCAGTCCTCCCCGGGAAACGCAACCGATCGGTATATCACTTTCACGGGTTTTTAAATAGCGCCCACTCTATTTTTGCCGCTGGTCCACAAATACGGCTGCTTAAAATATCATTTCTAAACCACGCATTTCATTGTTTTAATTTATGGCGGACCCACCTCTCATCCCCCTCTTTCTCTCGCTGGCGGATGAAGATAAACGGTGGCCTCTCGCGATTTTCAAATAACGCGTCCACCGCGCGCTTTTCGCTTTGGCCCGTGAATTGAACCGCTTAAAATACCGCTTCCGAACACAAATGGCGTTTCTTCCTTTTTAATTTATGGCGGTTCCACCGCGCGGGGAGGATAAAATCGGAAACCCTCGCGGGGGTCAGGCACAAAGCTGCGTCCCCTCCTCCTCCCGCGTCCCCGGAGGAAAACTCCCGCGTGAGCGCGAACGAAACTTCCGTGCGCTTATAAAGGCATCCCGATGTAACCCGACGCGGGGCTTAAAACTTGAGCCGGTCGCGGGATCCTCCTCTCCGCGGAGGAGCGATACACCGGGAGCGCCGACCTTATTTCGCGCCGGTATATGGGTTACTCGGAAATTTAATTCGCGCGCGCGACGGCGCGGACCTCCATCATCCGGCGCCGCGCCGCGGTATTTCCCCGGTCGAACTTTTTTCCCCACATACGCCCGCGTCGGAAAAAATAATTCCAGCTCCATCCGGGGACTCGTGTTGCCCGCGACGACGGGATCACGTGAGCGAGCCGGTCGATTTCGCGTTATTTCGGCGGGTACTTTGCACGGGAGCGACTTTATCAAATTAGTTCCGTCTTTTTTATTTATTTATTGTTAATCTCATTCGTACGCGAAAATAAAGGGAGGATCTGTCGCGCATAAGAGATCGCCCCCACATCGTTGCTTCGAAATCAAGATTTTTTTTTATTTCGAATGCCAATGAATATCTATTGCCTCGTCATCGGCTTGTCTGTACTTTAAATCTTCGACAAATTAGGTCTGTTCTTTGTAGCTCAACTAGCTGCACCGGTTCAGAGTTTATCTTTTGCCTTCTAAAGGCCTTCACACACACACACACACACACACACACACACACACACACACACACACACACACACACACACACACACACTTTCCGTAAAACGTAACAGTAAGGGACCGTCTACATTGGAAGTAAGCAGTAAGAAAACCTCCACCTTTCAGTGTAAAAGCTAAAGTACAGGCATAATTTTTTTAAATATTTGTAGCACTGGTCGTACTGTGCTCTAATTCGCCGAGAGTAAGCGTCAGAGCTGAAGTAGGAGTAAGAAATGGAAATGATTCATTTCTTTACTCCTACTCTTACTTCTTACTATTGTAGACGATCCTTAAAGCGTCGTCTACAACACGTGGGGTAAGCTTGGAGTAAGGAGCAAGACAGAACCATAGCTTTTAGCTTTTGGTCTAAGGAAACTAAAATGCAGGCATAATTTTTTAAATCTTCGTAACACTGGCCGATGGCGTTCTGATTCACAGAAAGTGAGCGTAAGAGCTGAAGTTACTCCTACTCTTTATTCCAGGCTTACTCCATGCATAGACGACGCCGAAGATTTCGACCAATCGCGTGGCTCGATTCGCACACGGACGGAAACGCCATAAACGAATCGAGCCACGCGATTGGTCGAAATCTTACTGTTACTGTAATGCCGCAAATCTGTACACCACAATGCCCTCGGCGGTTTCCCCCTCGGTTTCATACCAACTTGCTTTCGCGCTAGATCAAGGAACCATTAATTCAATTTCCACAATGTCACGTGTCTCCTTTTCGTCCGCGCCAGTTCATCTGTAATTCGTCGCGATCGACAAGACAATCGAGGCAAGAAGGGGATCGTCTCCGGGATTGTCGGATCATAAATAAGGGATAAGCGAGATCTCCGAGGGGGATCCTGGAGTTCGACCGGGTCCAGCGCGGACGTATCACAATTTACCCGTTAATTTTCCCAGTCCCCCGTGTCGCACAGCGTTCCATTGTATCACACGGAGTCCCGCATCGAGTCGTTCAGTCTCCCGAATCAGTTTCCTTCGTTTACGCCAATTGGCGAACGGATTCTTCTTCCCGCGCCGTCCGTCACCGTTTGATTCGGGATCGACGGCGCGAGCGAGGGAGACCAGTATTAGACGGCGCGAACT